AACGTTTAAACTGTCTAATCCTGTGTGTTGGGGTTTGGTGTTGGCGAAGGCTCTGTAAGGCATAGAGCTTAAATTAGAGTTAGGTACATTATTAATCTAAAGTGAACCTGAATGCTTTCTATCATTTTTTCTTGTCTTATTGCACTGTAGTGCTAAAGTAAACCGACTTTTAGTACTACACACAATAGAAGCCACAATAACAATCAATCATCCTTGTCTTGTTCCTAACTTTAGTGAACTCTTTCCAACATTTTACTGAGTTAGTTGCCTTAGTTCCATGTAGCTGCTCTTTATCAAAGACCTCACTGGGTTTCCATTCAGTCTTGGAGGAGTCCGGGTATCTATTGGCCGTGACATTTATACCGTGCATGACAGAGTTCTCTTCTCTCCTGGTCCTCATGCTCTGGAGCTGTATGGCTGCACTTCAGCTGCTGCACACGTTTGACTTTTTGAGTAGCCCTTGAATCTCTGCTCATCCTTGGCCTCTCTTTAGTTTTTTGGTATTATAGCCTCAGCTTAAGTTTGGCTTTTGTAGGAAAACAATGGGCCTGTGCTGACAAAGATAAAAAGTCAAGGAACAGGATTTTTTTTTATATCCCAACTTAGTCCTAGCTTTCACATTTACTTGGTGGACAACACTGGATGAATAACTTAGTCTCTTTAAGCCTTAGTTTCATCCACTGCGAAAGGGGAAAAACAGTATCTGTTTCACAGAGTTGTTTTAGGATCATGTAGCTTATATGAAACACCGAACACTTTTCCAGGCATGACATAGGCACTCCATCTCATATTATGAAGCTTACCATGCATGGGAGGTCCTGATGACAGCCTTCTTCTGTCCAGGCAGGGCCAGCTACCTGGTGGTAGGACCAGTGCAGTCACACAGGGCCCCATGCTTAGCAGAGCCCTGCATTTAGTTTAATGCTCTGCTGTTGCCACCTTGAAATGCTTTATTTTTGAACAAGGGTCCCATATTTTGCACTGTTCCTTGTAAACAATGTAGCCAGTCCTGTCTCCAGGAATGGATCAAGCACTGGTACCGGCCCTTCTCTTTAGAACACATCCTATTATTGATTCCTTAAGGAGTAAATCCCTTGAAGAGTAACGTCTCGTAGAAAAATTAGGGTTAGCACCCTGTGTATGTTTATCTCTAACTGTTCCATTCTCAGTAACCTATGCATCCTTTCTCATGAAGAAACACTGTATATTTTACAGAAGTTATTAGGTCTAGAGAAGCTGGTGGGGGGTGCTGGTGAAATGGAATGGTGATTTGGGATTTTGGAATCAGGAAAAAGATATAGATTCAAAACCCTGCTAGATCCTTTCTGGTTGAGTTACTTACACAAGGTAATGTCTCTGTCCTACTGATAAAGTGTATGTTGTAGGGAAATTACGTTTTCTTTATTGGTAAAATACGTTTCAGGGGAATTAAACAGATAATTTATGTAAAGTGCCTTTCACAGTCTGGCACATAGTAGGTGCTCAATCACTATTAATTCTTCCAGTTCTTGCCAGAAGTAACTAAAATCAGGGCACTAGGACTTCCAAGCCATTATGCTGCTAATAAAAGAAATAATATGATTTATTTTTTCACTACTGTTTGGGGAAAGGCCTGTGCTTCATAAATATGTATCAGAAAGTACTTAGCAAATGAGTAGAAATAATAAAAACATGTCCAAGTAAACAGCTCCTATAAATATGTCACTTGGTAGACAAATTAGTGTTTTATTACTACCAAATACTATTGCTCACTGAAAAGGATTTTGGATTACTTGCACAATGGGTATATTATTGAGTGTCTCTGTGGAAGGGCATGATAAAGATGAAAAATAGTGATGGTGATAATGCCTAAGGTGGATAAAGGAGGAATGTGGGTAAATGCAGCTTGGAGGCCTCTGCTACAGTGATATGCACATTATTTAGCAGCATTCCAATGATTTGGTTCTAATATAGACCAGAGGGCTCAGAAAAAAATGATTTCCACAGGATGTCGTGAATCCAAATTTCAATTATTGGATCCAATCAGTGGATTAAGTGCACTCCCTTTCAGAACTGAACCTTCAGCTTGTAAACTAAGTTTACAAAAGGACATCTCAGGGTCTCACTCACCCTTGTTCTGGACCTATTAATTTTTTTTTTATTTTTTTAATTTTTTTTAGATAGAGCCTCACTCTGTCAAACAGGCTGGAGTGCAGTGGTGCAATCTTGACTCACTGCAACCTCTGCCTCCTGAGTTTAAGTGATTCTCCTGCCTCAGCCTCCCGAGTAACTGGGATTATAGGCACGTGTCACCACACCTGGCTAATTTTTGTTATTTTTAGTAGAGACAGGGTTTTACTACATTGGCCAGGCTGGTCTCAAACTCCTGACCTCAAGTGATTCCCCCTTCCTCGGCCTCCCAAAGTGCTGGGATTACAGGCTGAGCCACCACACCCAGAGTGGACCTATTAACTTTGTATAGCTATGATTTCTTTCTTTCTTCTTCTTTTTTTTTTTTTTGTATGGCTATGATTTCTATCAAGAGAAAGAGTGAAGTGGTGGAAAATGCTGGGCCTTCATCACAGCTAGGAATCTATTTCAGAAGTGAGAGGATGGGCAAGGTGCTCGCCTATCTAGGGAAAGGGAATTAGAGGGGAAAGAGGAGACAATACATGCCTTGGAGGGTAGGGGTGGAAATAAAGCCTTGGAGAGGAGACCAGACAGAATTGCATCAAGGAAAGTTACAAAAACAGCCAGGAAGGAAAACGATGGGGACATTTAATTCGGATGGAGGAGGCCTTTAGCAGGTCAGTCTTTCATGCATTCCAGATGATAAAAAGACTCGGTTTTAAATTCCAGTTTGTCAAGGCGCAGTGGCTCATCCCTGTAATCCGTCATCTCTGTAATCCCAGCACTCTGGGAGGCTGAGGCGGCAGATCTCTTGAGGTCAGGAGTTTGAGACCAGCCTGGCCAACAAGGTGAAACTCCATCTCTACCAAAAAGAAGCAAACAAACAAACAAATTGGCCAGGCAGGTGGTGTTTGACTGTAGACTCAAAGGTGGGAGGATCCTTTGAACCTGGAAGGTGGAGTTTGCAGTGAGCCGAGATCACACTACTGAATTCCAGCCTGGGTGATGGCGAGACCCTATCTCAAAAAAAAAAAAAATAAATAAATAAATTGCAGCTCTGTGTATTCAAGACACTTCTGGTTGAAAGAAAAAAAAAAAAAAGGAATAAATTCCAGCTCCACCTTTTACTAACCATGTGGTTTTGGGTAAGTTACTTAATATGTAGGTCCTCACTGATAATATGGGAATAATAGTAGTCAGTTTGCTGGGTTGTGAGGATTGGAAATAATACTTGTAAAGTGACAGCGTCTGATATGTATACATGACCTTATTTTTACTTCACTTTTCCTTATGATATTCCTTGTTTGAAAGTACAAATTGCTCAGAAAAACTCTGGGACTTCTCAATAGAATCTAAAGCCTAAGAAAAGTGTCACTAGACATCATTTAAAAGAAAGATTTGAGGCCAGGAGCGGTGGCTCATGCCTGTAATCCCAGCACTTTGGGAGGCAGAAGCAGGTAGATCACAAGGTCAGGAGTTCGAGACTAGCCTGGCCAATACATGAAACCCCGACTCTACTAAAAATACAAAAATTATCTGGGTGTGGTGGCACGTGCCGATAGTCCCAGCTACTCGGAAGGCTGAGCAGGAGAATCGCTTGAACTTGGGAGGTGGAGGTTGCAGTGAGCCGAGATTGCGCCACTGCACTCCAGCCTGAGAGACAGAGCGCAACTCCGTTTAAAAAAAAAAAAAAAAAAAAGGATTAGAAATGAATATTATGTTAATGACTAGGCATTGTAGCCCACCCTGGCGAACCATCCCCTGGGCCGCCCTGCTGTTGGGCGGTTTACTAAGCACAGCTACATGCCTTCCCTCACTAAATCCTCACGCCAACCTGCGTTTCTGGGATGAGAAAACCGGAGTTCCTCAAGGTGAAGTACCTTGCTAAAGGTGCATGGGGGAAAGGCGTGGATTCTTGCTGAGTCATTATCATTCTACCACAGCCCTTCCTCAGCAGGTTCCTCACCTTCCTGACGGGAAGTAGCTGGTCCTAGGGGTTTAGACTGGAAAGTGCTAGAGTGAGTGGGACAAACATGGATTTTTAGGTCCCACGGACCCGGCCTCTAATAACTTCCAGCTGTGGGACCCCGAATAAGTTTGTGACCCCTAGTGGGGCTGGGTTTCTGCAATGATGAAGTGGGGAAAACCATCGCCTGCTCATAGACTGATGAGAGAGGCAGTGAGACATGAAAGCCACGTTTCCAAGTTTTTTTTTTTTTTTTTTTTTTTTTTGAGACGGAGTTTTGTTCTTGTTGCCCAGGCTGGAGGGCAGTGGCGAAATCTTGGCTCGCCGCAACCTCCGCCTCCTGGGTTCAAGCGATTCTCCTGCCTCAGCCACCCAAGTAGCTGGGATTACAGGCATGTGCCACCATGCCCGGCTAATTTTTTGTATTTTTAGTAGAGACAGGGTTTCACCATGTTGGCCAGGATGGTCTCGATCTCTTCGCCTCGTGATCCAACCCACCTCGGCCTCCCAAAGTGCTGGGATTACAGGCGTGAGCCACCGCGCCCGGCCTCCAAGTTTTATTATGAAATGAGTTCAGCGATGTTAAGGGACTCGATCAAGGTCACCAAGCCGAGTCTTGACCCAGCTAAGCTTGGACCTGGACCCTTGGGCGCCTCTAGCAGAGTTGCGTGATCAAAGTAACCAGGAGCAGTCCACAACCTGACTTCGGGGAAACGACGCCTCCTATAGGTCCCAAGGCTCCCGCCGCCCCGGCCCCGCCTCCGGGAGCCTCAGCTCCGCCAGGGGGCGCGCGCGCGGAGGCCGCACTCGAGGCTGCCGCCCGCCTCGCTCTTCTCTATGGTGGACTCGGGCGCGGCGGGATCGGAGGCGCGCTCCCGAGAGGGGGCGGGGCCGAGCCAGGGGCGGGGCCGTGCGAGGGGCGGGAGCGGCCGGGCCAGGCCGGCTGGGGATGGGTTGCGGGGGGGCCGACTTCCTGGGGCCGCCCGTGAGGATGTCGCGACCGCCCCCGGGTGCCCCTCAGCCCCAGAGACGCCGCCGCGGCGGAGTCCGCAGCCTCCCTGCCTGAGGCGTTCGCGGCCGGTATCCGGCCCCTCCCCTCGCCTCCCCTCCCAGGTGCTGGCCGGGCCGGCGGCCGCAGCAGGTGAGGAGGCGGCGGCGGCAGCGCTGGGGGCCGTGGGCGCCCGGCCTGGGGAATGACGGGAAGGGGGGCGCTCGGGTGCCGCCAGGCTGTGGTCTGGGGGCTCCTCCTCTGTGTGGGGCGCGGCCTGGGACTCTCCCTGCCCTACAGGGGTGGGGGGGAAAGCCCCTTCCTTGCTGGAAGTCTCCGCCTTGAGAGCAGCCCACACCTGTCCTTTGAAAAGTCCTCTCAAAGAAAGCGTTTCACCTGTGGGGTCGGCAACAGGAGACGTGCGTCCTCGACTGTCCCCCAGCGCCCTGCAGACCGGCCGGTCTAATGGGCTTGCGGGGAACAGATAGATGCCTCTTTGTACGGCGGAGGAAACTGAGGCAGGTCCACGGCGGCCTGCTCACCCCTTGAAAGGCACCAGCCGGTCCCTACCTCCGTCTTAGACGGAGGCGGCTGGAGGAGGGAGGTTTGGAGTTTGGAGGTTGGATGGAGAAGTTTGGGAATGCGGCTGTACCCCCAGGGTCCACCGTTCCCTCGCTTGGGAGTTGTCCTCTGTTCGCGACGTGTGTGAGGTCGCCACTGTGCGGCAGCGGTCAAGACCGAGAGGGAAATGGGGCCTCTCTTCAGCCGGCTGCCCAGGAGACGTTTGACCAGACATGGGGAAGTCTGGCGAGACCAGGGGAGCCAGAGCCTCCGCTGGCATGTCTGCTCATGAATTCAGGGTGGCAGAAGAGACAAACAACAGCGTATTTTCTCCTTTTTGTTGGTCTGTCATTTGTTCTAGGGGGGAAAAAATCTGCTTGTGTAATCGAGAGTGCAGCGTGCACTCCCCATCTTCCATAAGGAAGGATTATTGTTGGCTTGGAAATAGGGTTTTACCCACAGCTATCACTTTGCTCCCCGGTTAAAGGCCAGAGTGACGTGATGAGCAAACATCCCGGGGTGCCTGTGGCCTTCTAAGAAAGCAGTAAGTTCCTTATGCATCCCTTTGATGATTGGTTTGGAGGCAGAGAGACTTCCTGTTACCACTGTCGCTACAACTGTTTGGGGTGCCTAATCATTCTCCCAGTGACAGTTCAATTTACTCAAATGTGGGCTGGGCTGCCCATTTATTATACCATTCTTCTAGGAATGGGAGTAGGCAGGGAACAAGGCACTGGGCTGAATTTGTGTAGAGTTCTAGGGCTGCAGCCTAGCCGTGACAGTTTTTTCTGTTCAGGGGATTTCAGGTTTGACAACTTCTTGATCCTTTTCCCTGATTGCATTCTCTTTCACATTCAAGGAAATAGATGATGGCAAGGGTTTCTGAACTTTTATTGTATATTTACTAATTCTGAATTTTACAGTACAATTTAAGTTACAGTTTATTTAGAGGTATTCTTAAGTTTGAAAATTCTTGGGTATTGTTCATAGCAATTGCAGATAGATGTGGCAGGGCTAACTAATCTTGATGGTGATTGAAGAAAATGTTCATGTAATCTAGGACACATTCATTTTAATATCTATCTAATTACAAAGACCAGCCCATCAAAAACTTTTATATTGGTCAGGTAGACAGTTGTGATATCTTGTTTACATTGGGATCAAGGGTTGTAAATACTCTAAATCGACCAGTTTAACCAGCTACCAAAATAACATGCACAAAAAGAGAAAGCTTTTCTCAGAAACCGTAAAAATTGGTTTATTTCAAACCTTGTCACAACCAAGCCAGTTGACATAACTCTGCTTAGTACCATCTAATAGGAACACCTTTTTATTTTCCTTTGGAAACAGTCTCACTCTGTTACCCAGGCTGGAGACAGGGTTTTGCCGTGTTGCCCAGGCTGGTCTCAAACTCCTTCAGCTCAAGCGATCTGCTGGCCTCCACCTCCCAAAGTGCTAGGATTGTGGATGTGAACGACTGTACCCAGTGGCGTAATCAAGGCGACCTCCTAGGCTTAGGTGACTCTCCCTTCTCAGCCTCCGGAGTAGCTGGGAATTCAGGCAGGCACGACCACGCCCAGCTAGTTTTTACATTTTTTGCAGAGGTGAGGTTTTGCCATGTTGCTGGTCGTGAACTGGGCTCAAGCAATCCTCCTGCCTCGGCTTCCCAAAGTGGTGGGATTATAAATGTGAGCCACCTCCTGGGGCTGGAACACTTCTTAAGGATAGTGGAAAAGGCATTTTCAGTGACCAGAATTTAAGAAGACAAAACAAACAGCAACAATAACAAAAAAGGGCACAATTTCTTTTCTAATTACAATGTGCATTGTGATTTAAATATAGTCACACCCATCTCTATGAGTGTCATGCCTAAGACTTTCTAAAAACACCTCTGTAAACCTAAGAAGTTGGTAGGGGGACTAATTCCACCTTGTTTTTTTATTCTTAACATAGGACTTTTAATACTGCCATTGTTTTAATGATGGAGACTTTTATACCAAACTTGTCTTAGCCATAGTGTTTATGTTTTTGGAGGAAAGATTTAACCTCTATACCTGGCTGGGCATGGTGGCTCATGCCCGTAATCCCAGCACTTTGGGAGGCCGAGGCGGGTGGATCATGAGGTCAAGAGATCGAGACCATCCTGGTCAACATGGTGAAGCCCCGTCTCTAATAAAATATGAAAATTAGCTGGGCATGATGGCACACGTCTGTAGTCCCAGCTACTCGGGAGGCTGAGGCAGGAGAATTGCCTGAACCCAGGAGGTGGAGGTTGCAGTGAGCCGAGATTGTGCCACTGTACTCCAGCCTGGCACCTGGCGACAGAGTGAGACTCTGTCTCAAAAAAAACAAAAACAAAAACAAAAACAAAAAAAAACCTCTATACCTTAGAATCTCATAACTTTTTAATACAACAACAGCGTTAAGGTGTTAGAGTTTAATGAGAACATGTAGTTTAAATTGCTATTGTTGAAGTCTCAAGCAAGAAGCTGCTTCATTATTATTGTTGTTTCTTTTTTTCTTCTATTTTTTTAAATTGAGGTCCTCATTTTTTTTTTTTCTTTTTCGTTGTATTGTTTCGTAATGGTTACCAGTTTGATGATGATTACTGGTTATTTTTGTTTTGCTTCTGGTTATTGGTAATGGTTATTTGGTGTTTATGTAAGAAATATTTTGGCAATTGTAAAGACAGTCTTTTTTTTTTATTTTATAAGTTGTCATGCTAGTATCTTTTTTTTTTTTCCTAAGTTGAGATGGGGTCTCACTCTTGTCACCCATGCTGGAGTGCTGTGGGATGATCCCAGCTCACAGCAACCGCGAGTCCTGGGCTCAAACAAGCCTCTTACCTCAGCCTCCCAAGTACCTGGGACCACAGGTATGTGTCACTACGCCCAGCTAATTTTTGTGTTTTTGGTGGAGACAAGGCTTTGCCGTGTTGCCCACGCTGGTCTCAAACTCCTTCAGCTCAAGCAATCTGCCAGCCTCCACCTTCCAAAGTGCTGGGGGTGTGAGCCACTGTGCCCAGGCTAAAGACAATCTTTTCATATGCAAACAGACTCCCTGTTCTTTCATAGTGAAATATCTGATCACTTTCTTATTTTGTGACTTTGTATTAGTTAGGGAGTTTTAAAATAGTAAAACTAATTTGGCTCTTACTAGGATAGCCTATTATATCTCACATAAAAGCCACCTCAGATAGGTAGGAATTGGCCTCCTGGATTTAAAGACCTCTGCTCTCCCTGTTTCCAGGATTTAACAGTTGCCATGGTCAGGACAGCAGTCATATCTAATCCTGTTACACCCTTCTTAGTTTAAACCCATTATCCTTTCTCTTCATTAAGACTGTCATGAAGTTCCTCCCTTGCTTTTCTTATGGAGGGTGGAATATTCCACATTTTGATGTATTTGGGCCTGTTACTCTGAAGTGAAGCTAAGCAGTTGGTTAAAAGAGTCTGCACGTTTTTAAACAGTTTCCTTTTTAAAGCATAAAATCCGCATTTCGGTCAGTGCCGTGGTTCACGCCTGTAGTAATCTTAGTACTTTGGGAGGCGGGTGGATCACCTGAAATCAGGAGTTAGAGACCAGCCTCACCAACATGGTGAAACCTGGTCTCTACTCAAAACACAAAATGAGGTGGGGCTTGGTGGCTCACACCTGTAATCCCAGCACTTTGGAAGGCTGAGGCAGGAGGATCACCAGGTCAGGAATTCGAGACTATCCTGGCCAGCATGGTGAAACTCCCGTCTCTACTAAAAAAAATACAAAAATTAGCTGGGCATGGTGTCGCACGCCTGTAGTCCCAGCTACTCCAGAGGCTGAGGCAGGAGAATCGCTTGAACCCAGGAGGCAGAGGTTGCAGTGAGCCGAGATCGCCCCATTGCACTCCAGCCTGGTGACAGAGCGAGACTCCATCGCCAAACAAACAAACAAACAAACCCCCACAAAATTAGCCAGGCATGGTGGTATGTGCTTGTAATTCCAGCTACTTGGGATACTGAGGCAGAAGAATGACTTGAACCCTGGGGACGGAGACTGCAGTGAGTTGAGATCAAGCCACTGAGCTACAGCCTGGGCAACAAGAGCGAAACTGTCTCAAAAAAAAAAAAAAAAATCTGCATTTTCCCTGGAGTAAAACCAGTTTTTGAATCTGATAGTAAAACAAAAGCTTTTTTTTGTTTTGTTTTCTCCCGCTTTCTACTAATAGAAAGTCTTTATTAACTTTTCCTTACTGTTTTGCTAGTAAAGTGACTGGTGATTGGTAGTGAATGATAACCTAGTGGTAATGGGAGATCCTGAAGTCTCCTGAATCATCAGACAGGTCACATTGTGTTGAGTCAGTGCAGCTTTGGCCTTTTAAGCATGTTTTATTGTAAGGAGTTCCCAAAACCCACCCACTTCTTGAACAGTGAGATACCTGGTGATTTGCTACTGAGTCACTGCCTGAGATATTCTTTAAAAATGCAGATTTCCCAGCCCCACTTCCTGGAGATTTTGATTGAGTGGGTAAGTGATGACCAGGGAGCTACCTTTTATTCTTTTTCCTATTTTATAATTTATTTTTAGTGTGAGGCCATACCCCATGGAAGCTACCT